CCAATACCAGTCCATTTCAGCTCACTAATGCCTAAGATACTGATGTTTATGCGTTCCATTTCATTTTTGACAATTTCTAATTTTCCTAGATTTATACTAACATGGATACATCCCTAAAATATCCTGTTAAGTGGAAACAAATCAAGTTTTATACTTTAAAAAGACAATTTAATATTATTATTTTACGTATTCTACAGATACATTTTAATGGATGTAAAAGTACAGGTGAAATTCTAGACGGATATGCACAAATCATTTTCTTTGGGCAACAGAACAGGATCTGCAATTAGAGGTGGTAGTTAAAAAGAAATTTAGACTTATCTGTAATGTTATCATTTTTTATAGAGCTAAGATATACATGTACTATTTGTGTCAATTGAAATTTTTAAAGTAAAATATATCTGCAAGTAATAGTATGGAAAACATCTAAAACGCACTGTCAAGTGAAAACACAATGTGGAAAGTAGTGTGCAGAAAACTTTGATTTGCACAGGAACAAAAGTGGTGGTAAAATATACATATATCCTCAGATATGCATAAAACATCCTTAGAAGGATTCCCACAACACTGGTAACATGGACTGTCTTGAAGAAGGGGACCAGAGTCAGGATGGAGGAAAATAACTTTTGTGAACTGCTTTATGAACTTGTAAGGGCTATTTGAACTTTTCATCGTATGTATGCATGCACTAGTTTAAAAAAAAAAATTTTTTTTTTAAGGGAATATGAGTGTGAATTTACTTTTAGAATATATAGGCCTGGAGATTTTCCATGCTCAAGGTATCCTGACGTTAGGTCACAAATTCTGAGCAAAGTCAATTTCTTCTTTTTCAACATCCCAGGAGACAGAGGACAAGGGTGATCACCCAAAGGTGCATGTGTATTCTGCTCCCTGCATAATTCAAGACCACCAGGACACTGTGAAAAGACTGTCAGCAGTCTGGCAAAAGGTGTCTGAACAGGATGACCTAATCCAGGAACTTCGAAATAAGCTGGCCTGCAGTAATGCTTTGGTGAGTGCTGTTTTCTAGAGCATTTTTCGGAGACTCAAAATAAGTTATGAGGAAAGGAAGGAGGTCAAAAAGAGTCACTGGAAACAACCTCTTCCAAGATTCCTCAAATGTCTCATTATATACCTTATTTTCTAAAACTCTCATCATCATATGAAAGTTTGTACTAAATTATCAGTAATTCCCTGAATGAAATAGAGAACAAAGAATAAATGGAGAGAAGATTTTTCACATTTCCACTTCTTATTTTAGATACTTTGATTTTGTGTTGAATTATTTTCAAGCAAACCACAAAAATTTCATGTGTATTTTTCATTTTCAAAAAAAATTACACACCCATGAACTCCATAAGAAGCTTCCTTCTTTAACTCTTCATTAAAGAATGAATTTTATGAATTTTGAATACTGTTCTTTGATAGTTAGATCCATCTTTTCATCATAGTCTACCAAGCACCTACTTCTGCATCAAAAACTAGACCACACAGAGCTCAGGACAGATTCTAAAATATGGCCACTGACCACACTAGGCAAAGTATTGTAATACCTTATTAAACCTTGATATAAAATTGAGAATATAATTCTTTCTCTCCACCAATCCCACAGGAAGTGTGTGATAAATTATATAATGCTATGGCTAACTTTTCAGTCTTGGTGTAGCGCTATAGGATAAGCAAGGTCGGTTTGAATCTCAAGGTCAGTGGTTCAAACTCACCAGTCACTCCTCGGAAACCCTATACAGGGTTGCTATGAGTCGGAACCGACTTGACAACTTTGAAGTCCTGGTGTGGCTCTATAGGATAAGCATTGACCTGCTAACCATAAGGTTAGTGGTTCAAACTCACCAGCTGCTTCTTGGAAACCCTCTGCAGGGTCACTGTGAATCAGAATCAACTCGGCAGCACTTAACAATACCAACAACAACAAAATTTAATCTTTAAAGAGGAATGTCCTGCAGAAACAGTCATAGTAGTAAGCCTATTACCTTTGATAATTCAGCATAATCGACCTGTGTTTCTTTTCAGGTTTTGGAGCGTGAAGAGTCTTTAATAAAATTACAGGCAGACTTTGTTTCCTATAAAGCCACCCACAGACATCCTCCTTGCTCTTCAGGAGACTGTGAAGACATTAAAAAGGTATCCAACTTTTACTTATTTGTGCCTAATGGATTTGATTTAGGGGTTTCCTACTCATCGTTTGTGTGACTTTGAGTGACACTGCCACATTATATGCCATGCATAATATATGCTAAGTCCTGAAGAGAAGGAGCGCTGGTGGTATAGGAGCAAAGCACTCAGCTCCTAACTGAAAGGCCCACAGTTTGAACTCATTAGCCACTTCATGGGAGAAAGAGATGAAGCAGTCTGCTTTCATAAAATGTGACCACATTGGGAACCCTGTGGGGCAGTTCACCTCTGTCCTCTCAGGTCACTATGAATCAGAAGCCACTGAATGGCAGTGGGTTTGTCTCTTGATTTTTAAATCCTGACCAGTGTATCTGGCAATGTAAATGTTAGTTAGAACTGAATGTTAGAAGTACATGTAGCTCTTAACCCACTTCCACCAGCTATGTGCTGGATCCAAAAGGCCCATCAGCTCCTAGTTTCTACCTGGAGGTAAAAAGTAGCAAATTGGTGAAAGAGTAGATAATTTAATTTCTAATCTCCTTCTTTTTTATTTTTGAAAACTCTGTGCTTGCAAAATTCAAAGTAGTCTTAAATATAATTCTAATCCTGAATAAGCACTTAGACAATGTAAACAAATGGCAACATTTGACAAATCAATAGTCCGAGCCTCAAATCTAAGTCGGGTTCCACTCTAGGTGAGGCTTTATCTTAAGTAAGCTATGCCTAGAACTTGAGATCCAAAGCAAAGCCAACCACACAAGGTCCTGCTGTGGATGGATAAATGATGGCAGGCCTGTATGCTCTGAGATGGCCAAACGGAGGTGGGAGAAGAACCAAACAAGACAGGGAAGCTGCCTCAGTGGGGGAGAGGACTTACTGGTCTCAGAAAGTTTGGATGAATGAGGGATTAGTACTGGACTTTCTGGTTCCTCCTCGGATCTCAGTCAATATTTATTTTAAAGGTCAGCTCCACATCCCAACTTAACAGCAAGATCTAATAGCACTCTGTTTTTACAGGATACACCTTCACCAGTCTTTTATATTTGCTATCCAAAGCCTTGTTACCTGAATGTTCTATTAGAGATGGGACTATCCATGTCACAGTTCCCTCCTGCAGTCCTCTCCCCGCCTCAATTCGCACAGCATAGCCTGAGATTCCCTACAGGGCTCTCATCTGGGTCTAAGGTGACTGCTCCGTACTTCTCCAGCTGTCACCTTCTGTCTTCATGCTGCGGCCGACCCTCCCTTGCTTCAGCTCTGAAATTATGACAATAATCCTCTCCAGTGTCCCCTGTTGCCCAGGCAACTAATTGCTCCTCCTTCTCCGTATGTTTCTACCTTCTCTTGGTTAAAGCCAACTCCCCATTCCTTCAAGATGGAATCAGAGTTCTTGCAAAGGGATTATAATCCTTTATGTGATCTGATTGCCAACTACCTCATTATCTTATCTCCTGCTACTCTACTACGGAAGAGAAAGCGTGGAGATCCGCTTTCACTAATATGGCAGCCAAGAAAACCCAGTGGAGCTGGTCTCTTCTGTAACACCTGGGGTCACCATGAGCCTGAGCTGACTCTATAGCAGCTAACAACAGCAGCAGTCATTCCCCAGTCCTCACTTCCCAGCCCCTGGCAACCACTAAACTACTTTCTTTCTCCATGGATTTGCCTTTTTTGGATCATGGGCATTTTACAAAGCATCCTTCCCCCATGGCCTCATCCTGCCTTGCTCTCTGTCATCTGCCAGATACTGAAGTTCCTGCAGGAGCAGAAAGACAGCCAGTGTTTGCACGTGGAGGAGTACCAGAACCTCGTGAAGGACCTGAAGATGGAGCTAGATGTGGTGTCAGAACAGAAGAAGAACATCATGAAGGGTAAGTCACAGGCTGCTGGGTTACACATGGGGAACCAGAAGGAAGCTGAGTCCTCCTCTGAGCTACAAGGAGCCAGAGGAGGGCAGCGTGCCATCTCATCCCATTGTAGACATGATGAAGCTAGAGCTGGAACTGCACACGCTACGGGAGGAGACATCTTCTCAGATAGAGAGGAAGGATAAGGATATCTGCCATCTGCAACGGCGACTGCAGGAGACGGAGTGGCGCTTCTGTGAGATCCAAACGTTTGCTTCGGAGAAAGACAGGGTAAGGCAGTCTGGTGGAAGCCCCAGAGGCAGGAATGACATGCTAAGTGGAGAGCCACTCTACAGACTCCAGCCCAGCGATTACTTTGGGGGAATCAACAAACACATGCTCATGAGATGTGGCTCTCAGGCCAGAAACAACCCTGAGTCCTCCTGTGGTATATTTCACAGCATAGAATGAATTTGTGTTACTAGCCAGGGACCATAATAGAAATGCTGACTGTGTACAAAACAGGTTCTTCCCCAGCCCAACAAGGTACTGAAAAAGTTTGAGGAAACTTGCAAAGAAATTCAATGCACTTTTACTTGCATTGCTCCCTTAGCACATTTTTTTGTTTTTACAACAGTGGCAGGAACTTCTCTAAAACAGCGTAATTATTTCTTAGCCTTCCTAAGACTTTCAAGTGAATTTTAATTGTTTTAATGACAAATATCCTATGACTGTGCAAATCGGGTAGTTTGGGAGTACTGTTGGGACTCTAGCTTTTGTCCAATAGTGTTAACTTTTAGGAGGAACCCCTGGTTGGTGCAAACAATTAACAAGCTCAGCTGCTGATCACTCAGAGGCTCCTTGGAAAGAGGCCAGGTGACTTACTTTGTTAACAAGTAGCCACTGAAAAGCCCATGGAGTGAGCACAGTTCTACTCTGATGTGATACACATGGGGTTATTATGAGTCAGAAGAGATTCAACAGGGTTACGGATACCCTAGAAGATCTGTATATCCTAACATAAATCAAGTTTCCAAAACAGCTCTGAACTTTTATCAGAGCTATTCAAAATCTAACTGACTGACTAGCTAGTCATTGAAACCTTCTACTTCAGGGTATGAAGGAGGTCCACTAGTGCTGGTGTGGCGCTGTAGGATATTCACTGGACCGCAAAGCTGGTTTGAACCACAAGGTGGGTGGTTGAAACTCCCCAGCTGCTCCTCAGAAATGCTAAACAGGGTTTCTATGAGCTGGAACTGACTCCATAGCACTTAACAACAGCAACCAGTCAAAACAGGCCTTTTGGAGATGATGATAAGAAACCAACAGACTGGATAAACAAATAGAAGTCAGTTGTATTCACTCAGCAATATTTTTTGAGCCTCTATGATGTGCCACAGTCCTGCTGTTGTGCTGTGGGTTAATGCACCAGACTGCAAAGCCAGCCGTTTGAACTGCAAGGTTGGCGGTTCAAGCTCACCAGCTGCTCCTTGGAAACCCTATGCAGGGTCGCTATGGGTCGGTGGAGACAGACAAAAAACAAGTCAACAAAATTAATATATAATGTCAAGTACTAATTAGGTGCCAACGAGTCGGTTCCATCTCATAGCCACCCTATGCACGACAGAACAAAACACTTCCCGGTCCTGCACGATCCTCACAACTGTTGTTACACTTGAGCTCATTGCTGTTACCACTATGCCAGTCCATCTTGTAGGGGGTCGCCCCCTTTTTCGCTAACCCTGCACTTTGCCAAGTCTGATGTCCTTCTCCAGGGACTGGTCCCTCCTGATAACATGACCGAATTATGACAGACAAAGTCTCACCATTCTAGCTTCTAAGGAGCACTCAGACTGTACTTAGACCAACACAGACCTGCTTTGTTCTGTTTTTTACTGGCAGTCCATGGTATCTTCAATATTCTTTTCCAAAACCACATTGTCCAACTTTTACATATATATATCAGGCTATTGGAAATACTATTTGGATCAGGCACACTTTAGCCCTCAAACTGATATCTTTGCTCTTGATATCTTGGCTGCTGCTTCCATGAATGTTGATTGTGGCTCCAACCAAAATGAAGTCTTTGACAACTTCAGTCTTTTCTCCACTTATCATGATGTTATTTATTGGTCCAGTTGTGAGGATTTTTGTTTTCTTTACACTGAGGTGTAATCCATACTGAAGCATGTAGTCTTTGATCTTCATCCGTAAGTATTATAAGTCCTCTTTGCTAACAGCAAGCAAGGTTGTATCATCTGCATATCTCAGGTTGTTATGAGTCATCCTCCAATCCTGATGCCACATTCTTTTTCATATAATCCAACTTCTTGGATTATTTGCTTAGTATACAAATGCGAATGAGGAAATAATTCAACGCTGACAAACACACACCTTTCCTGACTTTAAACCATTCAGCATTCCCTTGTTCTGCTGGAACAACTACCTTAGTCTATGTACAGGTTCCTCGTGAACACAACTAAATGTTCTGAGATACCCATTCTTTGCAATGCTATCTATAACTTGTCATGATCCACACAGTCGAAAGTCTTTGCAGAGTCAATAAAGCACAAGTAAACATTCAGTCAAAATACATCTGACATCAGCAATGATGTCCCTCATTCCATGTCCTCTTTTGATTCCAGCTTGAATTTCTGGCAGTTCTCTGTCATTGTACTGTTGCAGTCATTTTATAATTATCTTCAGAAAAATTTTACTTCCATGTGATATTAATGATATTGTTTGATGATTTCCAATTTCCATTGGGTCACCTCTCTTTGGAATGGGCACAGATATGGATCTCTTCCAATCACTTGGCCAGGTTGCTGTCTTCCAAATTTCTTGACATAGATGAGTGCTATATCTAGTGCTATATCTAGTGCTATATCTAGTGCTATATCAGTTTGTTGAAAGATTTCCATTTATATTCTGTCAAATCCTGAAACCTTGTTTTTCACCAATGCCTTCAATATAGCTTGAATTTCTTCCTTCAATACCATCAGTTCTTGATCATATACTGCCTCTTGAAATGGCTGAGCATCAACCATTTCTTTTTGGTACAGCGATTCTGTGTATACCTTCTATCTTTTGACAATGTCTGCATCATTCAGTATTTTTGTCCATAGAATCCTTCAATATTGCAAGTCGAGGCTTGATTTTTGTCTTCAATACTTTCAGCTTGAGGAATGCTGAACATATTCTTCCCTTTTGGTTTTCTCACTCCAAGCATTTGCACATTTCATTGTAATACTTGACTTTATCTTCTTAAGCTGCACTTGAACATTTTCTGTTCAGCTTTTTGACCTTGTTTCTACTATTTGCTTTAGCATCTCTACCCTGTAGAGCAAGTTTCACAGTCTGTTCTGATATCCATTTTGGTCTTTCCTTTCTTTTCTGACTTTTTAATAACCTTTTGCTTTCTTACTGTATGATGTTCTTGATATCTTCCCACAGCATTTCTGGTCTTCAGTCATTAGTGTCTAATGCATCAAATCTATTCTTCAGATGGTTTCTAATTTAGGTGGGATATGTTCAAGGTCATATTTGGCTCTCTTGGACTTGTTTTAATTTTCTTCAGCTTTAGTTTGAACTTGCATATGAGCAACTGATAGTCTGTTCCACAGTCAGCCCCTGCTCTTGTTTTGGCTTTTTCACCATGTAGTCAGTTTGATTTCTGTGTATTCCATCTGGTGAGGCTCATGTGTATAGTCACCTTTTATGATGTTTAAAAATGTATTTGTTATAAATCAGTCATTGTTATTGTTGTTAAGTGCTGTCAAGTTGGATCTGACTCCTAGCAACCTTGTATGGGGTTTCCAAGGAACAGCTGGTGAGTTTGAACTGCTGATCTTGTGGTTCAAACTACCTTGCAGTCCGGTGCTTTATCCTACAATGCCACACCATGCAATCTCCAGCAGCATTTCTATCACCAAGCCCATATTTTCCAACTACTGACCCTTCTTCTTTGTTTCCAACTTTCACATTCCAATCACCAGTAATTATCAATACATTTTGATTGCATATTTGATCAGTTTCAGACTGAAGAAGCTGGTAGAATTGTTCAAATTCATCATCACTGACTTTAGTGGTTGGTGCATAAATTTTAAGAATAATGGTATTAGCTGGTCTTTTTTGTATATGTATGAATATTATCATGTCATAAAATACACTGTATTTCAAGATAGATGTAGAAATGTTGTTTTTGACCATGAATATGATGCCATTGCTCTTCAATTTGTTGTCTCCAGCATAGTGAACCATATGATTATCTGACTCAAAATGGCAAATACCAGTCTATTTCAACTCACTAATGCCTAGAATATCAATGTTTTTGCATTCCATTATTTTTTTGACTACTTCCAATTTTCCTAGATTCATACTTTCTACAGTTCATGTTCCAATTATTAATGATGTTTGCAGCTGTTTCTCCTCATTTTGAGTTGTGTACCATCAGCAAATGAAAGTCCCAAAAACTATTCCATTTGCTTCATCACAATCACCTCTACTTTGAGGAGACCACTCTTTCCCAGTTATATTGAGTGGCTTCCAACCTGAGGGGCTCACCTTCTGGCACTATATCTGATCATAGTCTCATGCTATTCCTGTTTTCATCTTCTGGCACTATATCTGACAATGTTCCACTACTATTCAAAAAGGTTTTCAATGGCTAAACCTTCAGAAGTACTCTTCCTCTCCTTCTTCCTATTGTCTTAGTCTGGAAGCTCTGCTGAAACCTCTTCACCATGGATGACCCTGTTGAGTATGACAAACAGACAGAGGAGAGTGGTGGTCATGCACTAATAAATCCCTATAGAGAAATGAATGAAGTAGGTAGTTTGGTGGCTTTTTTATGGAGTGATTAGGGGAAACGTCTTAGGTAAGGTAATATTTGGCCATAAGTTTTGTAGGTTTTAATGAAGTAAGTGAGTCACCGAGGCAGTATTCAGGCAAAGGGAATAGCAAGTGCAAGCTTTACGTCCTAAACCTATTTAGCGTGTTCCAGGAGGCCAGCATGGCTGATTTGGGAGGAGAGTGGGTGGCAGGAGGTGAGGTCAGACAGGTATCCAAGGACCACATTATAAGCATCCTGGGAGGTTGTTGTCAACCTTTGGCCTTGTTCTGCATGAGATGGTAGCCATTGGAGGGTTCTGAGCAGAGGAGTGAGAAGACCTAACTTGTACTTCTAAAGAACCGTTTGGTTGCTCTGTGGGAAAAGCCAGGAAGGAAGCAGAGGTGGAGGTAGGGAGCACAGTTAGAAGGCTCTGGCCATGACCAAGAGAAAGATGAAGGTAGCTTGGACAATATTTGCTTGTCTCTAGCTGACTTCACCATGCTAGTTCAGCATTATCAGCATTAATACTTTACTCCTCTCAGGTCCTCCGGGAGAAAGAGGACACGCTACACAAGCTAGAGAAGGAACTAGCACAGGCTTTGGATGCCCTTAAAAACAAGGAGATGAAGGTTGAGAAGCAGCAACAAATGGTAACAGAACACAAATTAGATGCCAATCAGGACAACTGTGAGGCCCTGCGTGCTGATATCCAGAAGCTGAAGAGTAGCCTTGAAGAGGCCAAACAGCAGAAGAAGCAAGCTGGTGAGGCACCCAGCAAGCAGCTGTCCCACCATGCTTCTGACTCATTGCGTCAAATTTCCACTTCCTCCCTTTCCCAATTTCTCATACTCCAAAACCTTCTCTGGTCTCAGTTTACATCTACCAGAACTTCATTCACCCCCAACTGCACTTCCTCTCTGAAGCCCTCCACCCCATGAAGCAAGCACTGTGTTTGGGAAATTGAACTGCTGGATTTACACACAGACACCCAGAAAGAACGGGGCTCTGCCCTTTGCTGTTTTCATTCACTACACTGCTGCATGACACAAGTTGCCCTTACCTTCCCCGACTTCACATTTCCTCTCTCTCCTTTTTGCCTCTGAGCACATTCTCTCCAGAGTTTGCACTGTGGTTTGTGTCTGCGCCCCTCTGCTAAAACTGCTTCCTCAGAGGTCACCAATATCATCGTACCTTGGATATGGGAATTCTTTGGGGAGTGATACAAATGTTCTGAAATTAGATAGGGGTGATGATTGCTCAACTTTGTAAGCATATTGAGAAACACTGAACTGTATATTTTAAAAGGGTAAATTTTGGGGTATGTGAATGATATCCCAGTTTAAAAGAAAAGAGTCAAAACCTGACTTTTTCTTTGCTCTCCTTTAACTCCACCTGAGTTTCTGACAGTGATGGCCACCTACACCTCAACATTTGTTTCTTTGCTTTGGAGACAGAGCAGATCCCTTTTCTTCCACGTTGTTGTTGTTAAGTGCCGTCGAGTCGGTTTCGACCCATAGCGACCCTGTACAGGGTTTCCGAGGGTGTAAATCTTTACGGGAGTAGAAAGCCTCATCTTTCTCCCGTGGAGCAGCTGGTAGTTTTGAACCACTGACCTTAAGGTTCACAGCCTGATTCATAACCACTACGCTACCAGAGCTCATTATTGTCTCTTCCCTGCCCCTGCTCTAACATAGTTGTCATCCCTTAGGACCCTTCCTTCTTTCCTCTGTCCTCCCATCTTGGTGAACTCCCTCCATGGAGCTACATCCTCTGCAGATGACCCCAACAACCTAGGGACTCCATCCTAACTTCACACCTGTGGTCGGGCTTATCTTTAAGGAATTGCTCCATCTGGGCAATCTCTCTAATTCAACATTTCCACATGGAGCCTACTAGCTTTCCCTCTAAAAAAGGAAGGGAAAAAAAATCCTTCATTCTACTTCCAAAATGTGTCATTATTTCCAAAGTAACACCATCCTTCTTGTGATATCCCCAACTAGAAAACTTGATGGATGAAGTAGAGAGAAAACGGACGTTTAGAGTAGAAACTATAGCAAGGAGTATGGGATATGGGATCACATCAAGTGTAGAGGAGCAACATGTTGGAGTGCTTTCCCCTCATACCCACTGGAGACACAGATGTAGGCTAAAAGGACAGTGCAAGAAGCCTTTCTCCATTCTGATCCATTCCAGTTTCCTTAAGCACTCTTTCCTAATGTCAGGTCCCTTCTCTCTAACCCACTAAGTCAAGTCTCAACATTTCTTCCAGACTTTCAAAGCCCTCTCTAATTTACTCAACTCTAATTTCCCACCTCTCTTCCTCACTTTCCAACTAAACTAGTCTCCTCCCATAGATCTTCCCCACTCCCTCTACCACATGTTCATTCTTAACAATGCCCCCACCTGGAATTCCCTTCCTCCTACCTCAAAGGCTCAGCTCAGCTTCCATTTTTCCATGAGCCCACCTGCAACTCCTCTGGCACACATTGATCATTCTTCTTGAATGTTCAGTCATGTGAAGTGAATAATACCATGTTCTCTACATCTGCTCACTTCAGTAATGGCTCAGGGGGCTTCAAAAAATTCATGAAAAAGACAGAATGAGAAAATAATGGAATTTTCCATGAATTTTGTGAAGCCCCCTTGTACAAAGGTCAGGACTAGTCATTGAGGACATAATGAGACACATAAGAGACACTGAACAATTTCTGCCAGTTTGTTTAATTTTGGTCAAGGAGGAGGCCATGATTGAGGGTGGGAGGTAGTTGAAGAGAGAGAATTTCATAGTATTCCTTGGGAGTGATACTGAAGTGGAGAAAAATGAGGATAGACTGGTCATTGAAATAGGTATGGGAATGAAAGAAGAGACTTTGGAAACTGTCTTACTTGAGAGTCTGATCTAGGAGAGCGTCCCACAAGCTCCCTTCTCATATGTATATATCCTGGTTTACTTCCTGTCTCTGTAGCTCAGCAAGCAGTCCAATATAAAGAACAGGCTTTTCAGGCTGAGAGCAAGCTGGAGGATTCCCAGAGGAAACTTCAAAGCTACATTGTCCTGGACAGGCAGAAGGAAGTTACCATCCAAGAACTACGGAAAGACCTGCAGACACAGCAGAAGGAGTTTTTGAAGGCAAAAGAGCAACTAGCATCTAGCAGGTGCCACTGGCTCATACCTAGAAGTTCCTAGGAGTGGGATAAGATTCCCCATATGGTCATTTCCACTGTCCCCCAACACAGGCAATAATGTCCATCCTTCCGGATTGTCATTTGTTTCAGTAAACAAATAGATGAGCTGACATCAGAACTTTCTGAGGTCAAGAGGATGCTTGAAATTTCAAACAAGGAGAAGAATCAACTTCAGAAGACAGTAGATGAGCTGGAAATGAATCTGAACAACAACCTAGAGCTTATGAAGCAGATTCAGCACCAGGTATGAAGGGCACATAGGTAGCCAGTCCAAACATGACCTCTACCTCACATTAAAATGTACTGGGCTTTTTCAGCATAATGTCACCACCACTGCAAACAAATTGTCTAGAACTTAGGTCAGCATGTCATAACAACGATATCCAAGGTCTAAGCTTGTTATTATTATTGGTAGGTACCATTGTTGTTGTTGTTAAATGCCATCGAGTCGAGTCAACTCCGACCCATAGCAACCTTGTATAGGGTTTCCAAGGAGCAGCTGGTGAGCTTGAACCACCAACCTTGCAGTTCAAACGGCTTTGCAGTCTAACGCATTAGCCCACAGCGCCACACCAGGACTCCAGATGCCATTGAGTTCTTCCAATTCATAGCAACCCTGTGCACAACAGAACAAAAGACGTCTTGATCCTATGCCTGCTCACAGTCTTTGTTAAGCCTGATCCCATTGCTGCTCACACTGTTCCAGTCCATCTCTTTGGTAGGCTTCCTCATTTCTCACTGACCTTCCACTTTACCTAGCATGATGTCCTTCTCCAGGGACTGGTCCCTCCTGATAATGTGTCTGAAATAAGAGAGAAGAATTTTCACCATCCTGACTTCTACGGAGCATTCTGGCTGTCCTTCTTCCAACACAGATCTGTTTGTTCTTGTGGCAGTCCATGGTACTTTTAATATTATTCTCCAACAACATAGCTCAAAAGCATCAATTCTTCTATGGTCTTCCTTATTTAGTGTCCAACTTTCACATGCATATGAAGCTACTGAAAATACCATGGCTCGGGTCAGGCGTATCTTAGTCCTCAAACTAACATCTTTACTCTTGAACACTTTAAAGAGGTCTTGTATCACAGATTTGTGTAATGAAATATGTCATTTGATTTCTTGGCTGCTGTTTCCATGAATGTTGATAGTGGAGCCAAGCCAAATGAAGTCTTTGACAACTTCAGTCTTTTCTCCATTTATCATGATGTTATTTATTGGTCAAGTGGTAAGGATTTTTGTTTTCTTTACATTGAGATGTAATCCATACTAAAAATTGTGGTCTTTGATCTTCATAAGTAAGTATTTTAAATCCTTTTCACTTACAGCAAGCAAAGTAATATCATCTGCACATCACAGGTTTTTAATGAGTTTTCCTTTAATCCTGATGCCATGTTCTTCTTCATATAATCCAACTTCTTAGATCATTTTCTCAGCATGCAGATTGAATAAGTAGGGTAAAAGAATACCACCCTGGCATACACCTTTCTCTAATTTTAAGTCATGGAGTGTTCTGTTGTTCTGTTTGAATGATTGCTTCTTGGTCTATGTACAGGTTCCTTATAAGCACAATTCAGTGCTCCAGAATACTCATTCTCCACAATGTTGTCGATAACTTGTCATGATCCATACAGTCAAAAGTCTCTATAAAGTCAATTTAACAGGTAAACATCTTTCTGGTATTCTCTGCTTTCAGCCAAGATCCATCTGATGTCAGCACTGATATCCTAAATTCCACATCCATTTCTGAATCCAGCTTGAACCTCTGGCATTTCCCTGTCAATGTACTGTTACAGACGTTTTTGAAGTATCTTTATAAAAATTTTGCTTGCATGTAGTATTAATGATATTGTCCAGTGATTTCCACATTCTTTTGGGTCATCTCTCTTTCGAATGGGCACAAATATGGATCTCTTCCAATCAGTTGGCCAGGCAGCTGTCTTTCACATTTCTTGGCAGAGATGAGTGATTGCCTCCAGGATGCATCAATTTGTTGGAAGATTTCAATTTATATCCCTTTGCCAGTTCCTTCAGTGTACCTTAGACTTCTTCCTTCAATACCATTGGTTCTTGATCATATTCTATCTGTTGAAGTGGTTGATCATCAACCATTTCTTTTTTTTTTTTTTTTAAGTTTTTATTGTGAATTGAGTGATAATTTACATGGGAAACATCGATTTTACACATCATTTCATCGCAATGATTACAATCTCCTCTGTGCATCATCATTCAACAGTATTTGGTCCCATTCCCTCTGGGGTTTTTTTTTGTTTTACAACCATTTCTTTTTGATACAGTGACTCTGTGTAGTCATTCCTTTCACCTTCTTTTGATGTATACTGTATCATTCAATATTTTTTCCACAGAATCCTGAATTTTTTTTTCTTCAGTTCTCTCAGCTTTAGAAATGATGAGCATGTTCTTCCATTTTGGTTTTCTAACTCCAGGTCTTTGCATATATCATTATGATATTTGACTATGTCTTCTTGAGCTGCTCTTTGAAATTTTCTGTTCAGCTCTTTTACTTCCTCATTTCTTGCATTTGCTTTACCATCTCTACACTGAAGAGCAAGTTCCATTGTCTCTTCTGACATCCATTTTGATATTTTCTTTTTTTCCGGACATTTTTATGACCTTTTTTTTTCTTGTTGTTGTTGTTGTCAGGTGCCATCGAGTCGGAACCGACTCACAGTGAACGAAACAATGTCCAATCCTGGGCCAACCTCACTACCGCCGCCACACTTGATGCCGTCAATGATGTCACCTGGCTGATCCATCTTGTT